GAACAATTCGTTCAGGCCAGTCTCAACACCCTACACAGTAGGTTAATGGACTGACACCTATCAGAAAACAACTACTACCCTGGCTAATACCACGAAGGGCGTTGAATTACGTCTGACAGGTATCAGTGCAATAATCTTCACTGAAGTATTTTCTGAATATGTTGTAGGCAATACAACTGCTGGAATCAATTTTCAATTATTGAATGGGCACACTTGCAGGTAGTGGCCATCATCAACATAGAGTCGATGATATTACATTATTAAAATTCGAACTTCTTTCAGTGTATCATTCCTTGAACTGAGAGGAAGCGAACAATAAACAACACTGCACCAACTAAAACCGTTCTGCAAGTGTGCCCGTTCAATAATTGAAAATTGATTCTGGCAATTGTATCGCCAACAGCATATGCAGGAAATACTTCAGTGAAAATTCCTGCATTGACACCTGTCAGATATAATCTAACGCCCTTCGTGGTATTAGCCATGGGAGTAGTTGTTTTCTGATAGGTGTCAGTCCATTGATCTAGAGTGTAGGGAGTTGAGACTGACCTAAACGAATTGTTCCTTTAGATGATTACTGTACATATTCAAGATGGCGACCCAGTCAGATGGTTAATTGAGTGTTCTCACTGTAAATGAGGAAACATGCCGTGACAAAACCTTTAAATGTTGTCAAACCAAATCTAATAAGTGCCTAACTTGTATAGAATGTGGAAATTGTTATCATGTATCATGTGCTGCAAAAGCTAAGCTTAAATGTATAAAAATCTATGACAGCAGAATTAACTGCAGTGATGTCAACCCAAAACCAAGGTCTGTATTGAAGGATTTGAATGAAAATATAAAACTCAGAATGGAAAATGAGATGCTGAAACAACTTCTCAAAAAAGGAATATAAGTATAATCTACTCATGGAAAATAATAAGCTGTTGCAAATCAACAATAGTTTATTATTAGAAAAAGTCGAATCAATGAGGATTGATACTGATAAAAAAAACAAGGACAAACCCAAAACAAAAATATAGTACTGCGGCACCAAACTCTCGGATAAATACCACTAAATAGACGTCCGGTTTTTTTCAAGAGAATCCCAGTCAGTCAGATGAGAAAGAAAAAAAAAATGGTTTAATGTCTAAACAGGAATAAATCCCAATAACAAGACATTGATATTATTAACAAGCATGTTACAGTTTATATCTGCATATATACACACAATACACATACATATATACATACATATACATGAATACGATACTAATTTATCAACTAGAAACACCTGAAGCGAGTAAACAAAAAATAAAATAAAGTAAACATTTAGGAGAGTTAAGCAAAAAATTAGGTGAAACACTTGTGTGCAGCAAGCTAGGAGATTAATTGAAAAAAAAACATGTCAGATATAGAGCTAACAAGTAAAAACATAGTTCAGGTGTATTACCAAAAAAAAACCTAATTCAGCAGTAATACAGCTCACATGGTAGAATAACTCTCAATTTGGGCTCATGTATTTTGACTAGAGTGTAAAAGTTTCTTAAAGTGGTTCTTAACTTGACCAATAGGTTCATAATAAATGTCGAGATTTTCACAGAGTTGATTGTAAAGTTTGCTCATTGCAACAACTGGTGACTTGAGTAATATGTATATACTGACAGAAAATAAAAGTTGTGGTCATAAAGCTCTTGTAAATTATAAAAAAGAAAATGTTTAGTTGCTTTTCTGAAGTCTTTGCAGTTCTCTTTGCATTTTTGACCTCAACTCAACAATCTCAACTTGTAACTCCTAAAGTATCAATTTTGAATAATGTCACGTTTAGCTTTTCTAAATCCCTAATACTATTAGATCTTGGTCTTCGAAATAGTTTAAAATACAATGAAAACAACAAATTTATCTTCAGAAATGTCGACAGAAACGTCTTCAATAACTTAGACCTTGTTTTAACTCTAATTTCTTTTTTTTTTTTTTAGCGTTGGTTAGATCCGTCCAAATCAATAAAAAAGCAGCTGGGAAACTGCCAGTATCCATTACATTTTAGAGTCAAATTTTATGTATCCGATCCAAGTAAACTACAAGAGGAATATACAAGATATCAATTTTATCTACAATTAAGGAGAGACATTTTAGAAGGAAAACTACAGTTAGCTTCCAGCACTGCCATACTTTTAGCCAGTTACACTGTACAATGTAAGTATACTATCTTTTTTCTGTGTGAATACGTACAGATTATCTTGCCTGCAAAATCCAATATATAAAATATGGTAACTCAGTATCTTCCTCAACCCCGGTCCCATCTGATGACCGCAGGGCATTCAGGACCATTAGTTTTCGACCTCTTTCTAAATGACTTGAATGATTTATTTTTCATAGTGAATTTCTTCTGTTTGCTGTTGATCTGGAGACCTTTAAAGTCTTTAAAGTTATTCATGACTCGTCTGATACTGAATTATTACACTTCAATTAATCTAACTTGTATTTATTTATTCGGTATAAAAGGGAACACCCTAAGTTACAAAACACTACCCCCAAAACCAAATATTCTAATTTTTGAAGCAGTACAACATGAATTAACCCTATCAAAGGCATTCGAAAAATCTGTATGAGTTGAGTGAACCTGCTACTGTTTCTAAAACGTTCCCGATATGTCCTTCTGATTGGCCAGCAAATTTGTGACTGTAGACTTGCCTCTAGAGAAACCATGCTGCTGGTTAGTTAGAGCTATGAGACAGTACCAAGAAAGTTCTTTGGTTACGAGACAATAAAATATTTCAGGAATAACAGATGATAAACTGATACCCCGTATAATTCTGCTGCTGGTATCACCTGATTTGTGTTATGTTTTGTTATTGTACTTTATTGTATTGATTGAATGGGTTACCCTTTATGGCATTTTAGCTCACTTTATATATTATATTTTTCTATATAAAAGATGAATTTTCGTGGCTATTTTCTTCTGCTTCAGGTGATCATAATTGAACAAGTACCTTGGGTAGAGTTTTAGGTAATTTTTTGGAGGTAGTCTCAATTATGGTTACCTGTAGTATATAAATATTAATGTAAGAAACAACTTAAGGTATTCAAATATCTTGACAAAGCTACTGTGTTAGCGAAACATGTTGTGATATATTTTTTAAATAAAGTTTGTGGAGATCAAATCGTGAGGTGTAGTTTTTGATTTTTCTCTTGGAAATTCCATTGCCAACAATTATCTTCCACACTGAATTCTTTGAAATATCTCCTTATTAATTCACGATCTGTTCTAGAAGTCAAACAGATGGTGAATATTTATTATGCCCAATTCGAATCGAGACTCAGATATGGCATTTGCCTATGGGGCAATTCTCCAGGTGGGAAAGATATTTTCATTGCACAAAAACGAATTTTGAGATGTATCGCGAAAGTTTCTAACAGAGAATCATGTAGAGCTATTTTCAAAACATTTCGTGTTTTGACGCTTGCATGTCTCTTCATTTTCGCAATGTGTGTCCATGTTTTTAAAAATAAGAACACTTTTATTCACAATTCGTATGTTCATGGTTATAGAACAAGAAAACATTATGCAAAAAGAAAAATAAATTGATGTGCTCCTGATCATTTTGGCCTCAAAATATTCAACAATCTCCCAGAAGAATATATGTCATGTAAATTTCAGTGTTGTTGTATTTTAACCTTTTTATTTTTCTTTTTTGATGTAAATTTTTATTTTAATGTAATAATTTACCTGCCAATTGACAATTCCATTACATGTAAGCCATGAAAATGGAAATAAATATTGATTGATTGAAACAAGTGCTTTGCACTTAATCCTAAATTACTTTGTTCACTTCATGTATTTGTATTATTTTTTTTTCTACTGTGAATAAAGTTATAATTATTATTATTATTCAATAATTTTTAATAGCCTGAATTGGTATAGTGCAATGCAAAGACTGTTTCATATGTCTTCATTACTCATAATAACCAAATTGATTTTCTAAATAAGACCTCAAAGCAAAGATTTCTCTATATGAGTTTTCTTATTTCAGCCGAACTAGGAGACTATCAACCCGAAGAACATGGACCAAACTATTTATCACATTTACAACTCGTTCCCAATCAAACTGAAGAAATCGAAAATAAGATATCAGAGTTGCACAAGCTACACAAGTAAGAACCACATTTTCAATTGGGTACTATTTTATATTGGTGTGAAATATAGAACGAATTTTTTTCATTCCCTTCTTCTCATTTCTAATCATTTCAGAGGTCAATTACCCGCAGATGCAGAGTTCAATTTCTTAGACTACGCGAAGCGAATCGAGATGTATGGCGTCGAACTTCACAAAGCGAAAGACAACGCAAACAAAGATATACAGCTGGGAGTTACGCATATCGGTCTGGTCGTTTTCCAAAACAACGTCAGGGTCAATTCGTTTTCTTGGTCGAAAATAATGAAGATATCCTTCAAGAGGAAACAGTTTTTCATACAATTGCGCAGGGAAATCGTAAGTATATACATGTGATAAATGTTGACTTGTAAAGTACAGCAAACCTTGAAGATGGACTTTGAAAGATAATGCCAAGGTTTCGTTGAGTTTGAAGCTTTGGATTTGTGAATTCAGAATTTCGTTCAAATTGAAAAAGTTTTTGATGCAATTCCTGAAATTGATCTGATTTTAGCATTTTTTGACATTCTTGCAATAATGAAACAGTAACAATAATAGCATTTTTGTCATTCTGTAGCGAACAAAAGAAAATTGTGCATAAATTGGAATTCTGTTCAAAAAATAAGGTGAATTTTAGTTTTTCCCAAAAAATAATTATTCATTCATCAATATCTATTTTGTCCCCATCAAAGTAGTCTCCCTCAGATATAATTCACTTGTGTCAGCGTCCTTTCATGGGTCTCTTCAATTTTGGGAACATGAGAAAGTCGCAGGGGGCAGAATCTGGTGAATACGGTGGCTGAGGCATTATTACGGTGTTGTTTTTGTCCAAGAAATTACGGAAAAGCAATAAATAATGAACAGGTGCATTATCATGATGCAAAAGCCACACAATACCAGAAGTTTTCTTCATATTGCTTCTAGCAAGCGATGCATATCTTCAAGATAATACTTCTTATTGACCATACAACCATGTGGCAAGAACTCCTGATGCACTACGCCACAGTAATCAATGAAACAGTGAGCAAAACCTCAACAACTTATCTAATGGTGATTCGACGATTCTCCATAACAATTTTCTTCACTTTCTCAACATTGTTATTGGCTGATGATGTGCCTTCTGTGAAAAACTTGTACCGTTGGTTCACATTTTTCTGACTGAGAGTACAATCGCCGTATGCCACTGTCAACAGTTCAACATGAAACATGAGTCATTCTTCACAGCATTTTGAATGTTTCGAATATACAGTTGACTCGCGATAGTTCAACACTACGGATTACTTCATTCAACGGATTCAACGTGTTAGGAGTCACACGTTAAAAGATAAGACCTCGTTAATCCTTAGCTCGCACAAGTTTCGACTTCTGAGGGTTGTCGTTCGTAGGGGTGCGACAGCTGGTTAACGGAAAAACAGATTGTAAACAGATTTTTAAACTAAAAATTGCCTCTATTTAATTAAATTTGCAGTGTATAAGTTTGAAAATCTAGTTGACGATGAATTTTTATGTAATATTTGACTAGAAAAGATTCAAAATATGTAATGAAGTCAGGCTTTAGTTTTTACAAAAGAAGAGAAATTTATTTAATATTAAAATCATAACATGAATCGGTTTTATAGGTTAATGTAAGACGGACTAGACTAGACTAGACCGAGCGTGTCGGACTGTAAAGTGTCGGACTATCGCGAGTTGAATTGGTTTGAAACTCAACTTGAGACCCCAAATTTCATATTTCTCAAAAAGACAGTCATCCCTTCTTGACTTGTATTTCTTTAAGAGTCCATCTTCCCTCTATATTATTATTTGATAGGGTCAACCAAGATTTGCTTATCGCCAAACTGTCTTTGTTGGGTTTTTATGGACCAATCTTGCAATGGATCCAGAGTTTTTTATCTAGTAGAAGCCATATAGTAAAAATAGGAGGCGGCTGTGTATCATCCACAATTCCTGTACCTTCGGGTGTTCCTCAGGGTTTCCACTGTGGACCTTTGCTATTCAACCTATTTATTAATGACCTAGCTACAATTATGAAACATAGTGAGGTACTGATTTTTGCTGATGACGTAAAAATATTCAAATCAATTTCTTTCTACACACGATGTCTCACTCTTACAGGAAGATTTGTCACAATTTTATATATGGTGTGTTAGGAATCACATGAATTTAAATATATCCAAATGTTTCTGTCAAACATTTATGACTATAGTATCAATAATATACCAATTAATAGGAAATCAGTGATAAAGGACTTAGGACCTATGTTTGATCGTGAATTGAACTTCAAATCTCGTAATGAGTATATTATAGCTAAATCACTCAAGAAGTTGGGCTTCATCAATATATCATGTAAGGAATTCAGTTTGAACACTCGCAAGTTATTATATTGTTCAATAGTTAGATCATTATTGGAGTACGCTTCAATAATTTGGTGTCCTTATTATGAAATACACATAAACCAAATTGAAGCTGTACAAAAAAAACACTTTCCTGAGGATATGTGCATACAAGTTAGGTCTAAGAAGGTGAGAATATGTATACAACAACATTAGAGATCAGATGAATCTATTATCTTTAAAGAATGGAAGAATTATTTTAGATGTATGTTTTTTAAGCATAATTTCAACTGGCAACATCAACTGTGAGGAGATTTTATCTTTAATTAATTTGAATGTCAACAGGCAGACCAGAGTCAGTACCGAAACATTTAAAATACCGTTCCACTCCACAAATTATGGTTTTTTCTCTTCTGTCACTTATATACTCAGAAATGGGAATATTTATCAACAGGTTGATATCTTTAGAAGTTCCACAAATACCATCAAAATTGAACTGAGTCGCATTATTTCCTGAAACATTTCCTTTGATGATTCTATACTATTTCATCATTACATTTGCTTTTTTATACTATATATAATAATAATAATAATAATCATCTTTATTTCAGAATATGTCAACAATACAATAAACATATAATGACAACATATAATGAAATGACGTACTATACTATATATAGTACCACTATTGTATTGTACTGTGATTTTACTACCGTATTGTATTTTGTTTTTTATTATTATTGTGCTATGTATTTATTATTTTTGATTTACCTAAGATTTTACAAATTCTTTTTTTTCATAACAAATTGTAATTGGGACTACTCGTTGAATAAATAAATAAATTTATGTCAGAATCAAACCATGGTGAGTTAGTTGTGGCAATCATTTCATAGATTTCAATTTTTCTCTGTTCTGACACTTTCAATGCACTCGTTATCTTTTCATTGTTCCAGACTGAATCGTATGACACTTTGCTGGGTTTCAATATGGAAACGTACAGGTCGTCCAAAACTCTATGGAAATCTTGTGTGGAACATCACACTTTCTTCAGGTTACATTCGCCGAGAATAAGGAGGAAATTTCCCCTGTCGTTGGGGTCCAAGTTTACGTATTCTGGTTTCAATACATTATAACTACACCACCGACTTATTTTTTGTAGTTCACTATTCATTGTATCTATCAAATGTTCCACATCATGTGCACAGTAATATACAAGTGTGTCTTCAGCAAAGAGATGAATTTTACACTTGTCTACCTCATTAACAATATCATTTATATATATTAGGAATAAGAGTGGTCCTAGTGTACTGCCCTGAGGTACTCCGTTGTTATGGGGCAGACATTATCTAGTTTGTAGATGACATATTTCATAAACCGTCTTTGGACAGATTCAAGCAATTGATTGTGTGTAGTAGAATATAGGTGACAGTTACGACAGCCATATTCTAAATGGTATCTAACAAATGAGTTGAAGAGAGTAATGAAACTGTGAACATATGTTTGAGACAAGTGTACCAACATATAAAATCAAAATTACTAATCGAATGTACGTAGTCCTTAACATTTGAACATTACCCTTTTGTTAATGTATGTATGTATGGTATCACTTATGCTTTGGAATCATGATTTATTCGTACCAACCTAACTGATCTTTAATTTTGAGGAGTGACTCCTTGTCACATTTTATGAAAGGAAGGATGCTTCGTTTTTCGGAAACAAGATGTTGAAGTTGTAATAAAAACACTGTTTTACATTATAACTTCAACATTTTCACAGAAGATATTTCGCCGATTGTAATCAAACGTATAAAATTTGATCATCTGCATTTTATATATCTTCTGTGTTACTTTTGTGACTCCTGAAGTAATCTACTGTAAAATGTGAGCCGGTTTCATTAATTAACTAATAATTTAAGGTGAAGCCAACTGTTCCGCCTCTTCCATTAGAGGACAAAGGGAAAATCATGTCTGCTCCTGCCAGACCTCCGGGTCCATATGCTCACAAAGTAACATCCCTCGATACCAAAGAACCCAAGAAGGCGTGGACGGAAGACTCGAGAGCTTCTGATGAGTAAGGAAAACAATTTTTAAAAAATTCAACTTTTTTCATATTACTACTATTTTTTTTTTCAGCGACGGTGGTTTCTTGGAGAGAACCCTCGAAGGACCTTTTTCACCCGGTATTGCTGGTAGGGTGATGAGTTATGCAGATGAAGAACAACCCTCGCCCACTTCGAATGGTCTTTATGACACCCCTCCGTATAGCGTTAGCCACTCACCGACGTCTCAAATCATCGACGACGGTCTGGTGACTATTACTCTCTACCCCGACGAAGACGAGAAATACGGATTCAACGTCAAAGGTAAGAATTCTTGCACTGATATAATAATAAGTATTTATTGTGTCATGAAATACAAAAACTATTTACGAGAGCGAATTCAGAGTCAATATGTTATGTGAAAGCGAGTTATGCAGTAGCTGCAATACTCGCAAAAAAATCAAACCCATTTTCAGACGGTGAAATTGTTAAAGAGTGCTTGGAAAGTGTCGCGAAAATTGTGTGTCCAGAAAAGAAGGATTTCTCAAAAATAAGCCTATCTCGTCAAACTATTACAAGACGTGTGGATGATGTTGGCCTGCACACTGAAAATAATTTCAAAAAAACGTGCATCTGAGGTTATATATTATTCTCTGGCATTGGACGAAAGTACGGATATGACAGATATCGCACAAGTAGCGATCTTTATCAGAGGTGTTGATGCCCACTTTAATAAAATTACAACAGCTGTTAATTTGGACCTGTCAAGAGCCTTCGATAGTGTTGAGTATGAAATATTGGGTGTCAAGTTGTCAAATTATGGTATACAAGGTTTGCCTCTCAAATTAATAAAATCATATCTGGAAAATAGAAGGCAGTGCGTGATTCAAAGGGATCAAATAAACGGCGAACTAATAACATC